TCTCCAGTCCTAATGGCCTGGAATTTTTCTTTTATCCCTCTTGAGGCATTCTTTTAGACATGGATACAAGTTTTAATCATATTGTGACTTCTGTGTGTAGAGAAAGAATAAATTGGTCAAGGTATCCTTAACACCTTATTCACAGTTCAAATTCTAGCTACTAAATCATTTTTCAACTCAGGCACTAAGATCCATATTCTCCACCTAATAGTGACCTCAGTGCAATGAGAACACGAATTCTGCAGCATTCCTTAAATGAGTGCTTTCAATTGCCTCCAGAATGTTCTTCCAAGTTATGGACAAGCAGTCTGCATGCTTCAGTGCTCAAACAGCAGAGAATGTGACAGCTACGTCACACCTGCTGCACTCCTCAAAGCACTGGTAACCTTAGAAACGCAACTGCAAAAAGGTCCATGTTAGGCCATGTAGGGATGTCCGTAGTGTTCAGAAACAACAATCCCTGGGGCTGGAGAGATGGCTCAGCAGTTAGGAGCACTGGCTGCTCTTGAAGAGGACCTGGATTCGATTCCCAGCACCCACATGGTAGCTAGCAACTGTTCATAACTCCAATTCCAGGGTCCAACACCCTCTTCTCACCTCCGCAGGCACTTCACCACACAGGTGCACTTACACAAGTGCAGGCAACACACTCATACACATGAAATAAAAATAATAAATAAAAAATTTGAAAACAGAAAAAGAAATAGGAGAATGACAGCTAGTTGGCTCAGTGGGTTGAAAGCACTTGCCTCAAGCCTGGTGATATTAGTAGTTGGAGCCCCAAAACGCACATAAAGGTGAGAAAGCTGGCTCCTGAAACTTGATCTTGGACCTCCATATGTGTGCCATGGCACACGCACACACACACACACACACTAATAAGGTTTTTTTGTGGTTTTTTTTGGTCTTTTTGAGACAGGGTCTCCCTGTAGCCCCAGCTGTCCTGGAACTCACTATGTAGACCAGGCTGTCCTTGAATTCACAGAGATCTGCCTGCCTCTGCCTCCAAAGTGCTGGGATTAGAGGCGTGCACCACCACACCCAACACACACTAATAATTTTTTAAACTGGCTGTAATGGCATGTGTCTATAATTCCTGCATACCTACAGTAAGATGGGAGGTACAGACAGGAGAAATGGCCAGAAGCTCAAAGGCCATCTATCCTGGAGTATGCAGAAACAGTGAGAGAGACCCTCCCCCTTCTCACATATACACATCATACACACACACAATAATGATTACAATTTTAAAAAATAAACAAGCAGATGACAAGCATGGTGGTGTACATCAGTCCTTGGGAGGCAGAGGCAGGCAGATCTCTGTGAGATAGAGGCTAGTCTGGTCTACATAGTGAGTTCTAGGCTGGCTAGGACCAAGGAGACCCTATCAAAACAAAAAACAAACAAAAACTGAAAAAGAAATAAGTAGGCCAGGCATGGTAATGCACACCTTTATTCCCAGCACTCAGGAGGCAGAGGCAGGCAGATCCACAGGGTTTAACAGTGGCTGCCTTTTCACAGTATGTAAACTTTTAAATATTTTATTGTGTGTATATGTGCGTGTGCCACAGTGTGTGGAGAACTTCCAGGAGTCAGTTCTCTCCTTCCATCGTGTGGGTTCCAGGGATCAAACTTGGGTTGTCAGATTTGGTAGCAAGTGCCTTTTATCCACTGAGCCATCTTGCCAGTCCTGTATTTGCCACTAGAAGACTTGATAGTTCACCAATGATAGTTAAGCAAAGAAGTGGTTGATAAAGCTGGGGAAATAATTCAGTCAGTAAAGTATCTGCCATGCAAGCATGAAGACATGAGTTCAATCACTAGAATCCACATTAAAAAAAAAGAAAGCAAGGTGTGGTGGGTGGCACAAGCTTGTAATTTCAGTGATGGGGAAGTGACAGGAAAATCCCTGGGGCTTGACAGCCCGCTAGCCTAGCCTACTTGGCAAATCCAGGCCAATGAGAGACTCTTGTCTCAATAAAAGAAGGTGGACAGTGCCTAAAGAAAGACACCTGCACATGCACATATGTGTATACCCACCTTCACATACATATGAACCCCTCACACGTGCATATTAAGTCATAACTCTCAAATGTTACAGAATTTAAAATGACATAATCAAAAGAACCAAAGAGGGGTTACAGAGATGGCTCAGCAGTTAAGAGTACTTGCTGCTCTTGCAGAAGACCTGAGGTCAGTTCCCAAAACCCAAGTGAGGAGGCTCACAACCATTTGCAACTCCAATTCCAGGGGATCCAATGCCCACTTCTAGCCCCCTTGTACACCTGCACTCATGTGCACATACCTCCACATGGACACACACACGCACATAATTTCATAATTTTTTAAAAAAAAATCTTTTTAAAAAAAAAAACAAAGGAGCCAGGCGTGGTGGTGCACGCCTTTAATCCCAGCACTCGGGAGGCAGAGGCAGGTGGATCTCTGTGCGTTCGAGGCCAGCCTGGTCTATATTGTGAGTTCCAGGCCAGCTGGGACTACAGGGAGACCTTGTCTCAAAAAGACCAAAAAAAAAAAAAGACCAAAAGGGACTAGAGAGATGGCTCAGCAGTTAAGAGCACTAGGTGTTCTTGCAGAGGACCTGGGTTCAATTCCCAGCACCCACATGGCGGCTGACAATCATCTATAACTCCAGTTCTAGGGGATCTAACACCCTCTTCTGACCTCTGTGGGCACTGCACAACATGAGTGCACTTACATATATGCAGGCAATACACTCATACAAATAAAATTTTAAAAAAATAGTAAATACAGTATTTTTTAAAAGACCAAAGGAAGGTTCTAGAGACCAGAAAGGAAATTAGGGAAAAGGAGAATTTGGAAGAAAGTCTATGTTTTGGTACCATCTGAGGAACCAATTTCCATTTCTTGGGGCAGGAACACCTCTCTAATCTATGAAAAGAGAATCAAGAGATGGGGATCTTGGATCTAGGAGACTAGGGCCCAGGCTCCCAGGCTCAGAGGAGACTTCTCCAGCCCCTTTTGCAGCACTCTGGCCACTGACCTACAGCCCCAAAACCCTAAGCCTGTATCACCCTGAGGGCTTTCTGGGAAATTGTGGCTGTTCTCCTCTAAGACTCTGAGCTCTCAGGAGAAATATGCTTCTGCACTTCCTCCTCCACCTTAAGAGCCAAATTACTGGGCTACCAGCCATTATTTGATTTAAACCTGCTTTAGAGTGTTTACAATTTCCACCTGAAGTGTCTTACCCAGCAAGCAGTGCCACAAATCTAGTATCTGTCCAAAGGAAGCACTGGATGTGAATAGCTCTAGAGACCAGCAGAATTGGGTCAAATCCCAACCTTGGTATTTATTTATTTATGTATTTATTTATTCATTCTTGGTTTTTTTGAGACAGGCTCTCCCTATAGCCTCAGCTGGCCTAGACTTGCTATGTAGAACAGGCTGGTCTTGAACTCACAGAGATCTGCTTGCCTCTGCCTCCCAAGTGCTGGAATTAAAGTCATGCACCCATTTGCAATATACCTCCCCAGTTATTAGACATTCCAGTCAATAGTATATGATAATCTCTGCTTTTGTGTTTTTTAATGCTTATTTATTTTTACTTAATACGTATAAGTGTTATGACTGCAAGTATGTAAGTGTACTACATGCATGCAATGGCTGAAGAGGCCAGAAGAAGGAGTCAGATCTTGTGGAACTGGAGTTATGAATGGCTGTTAGCCACTATGTGGGTGCTGGGAACTGAGTCCAGCAAAAGCAACCAGTGCTCTTAACTGCTGAGTCATCTCTCCAGCCCACTTTTGGTTTTTTTTTGAGGCAGGGTCTCCTGTAGCCCAAACCAACTTCAAACTTGGTAACTGAGGATGACCTTGAACTGATCCTACCACCTCCTCCTGGGTGCTGGGATTACAGGTGTGCACCACCATGCCAGCTTAGATCTGTGGTGCTCTCTGCCAAATCAACTCTTAAACTAATATGGAAATAAGCTCATTTTATATGTCCCCAGACTAGCTCCTCTAGCTTGAAGCTGGGATACCTTCTAAAGACCCAAGCAATGGAACTTTAAAGAAGTGGGAGAGAGGTCTTGGGTCTTAGGGGGATGATTTTGAGAGGGAATATTGGGACCCCAGCCCCCTTCCTCTCACTCTTTTGGTCCTTCCTTGACTAAGAGGGGGCTGTTTTGCTCTGTCACAGGCTGACACTATGATATGCCACCACAGGCTCAAAGCCACAGATCATAGGCAGAAACTCTAAACTATGAGCCAAGCCTAGTATGAGAGGCCTGTAATAACCACCATGTGGGAGGCTGAGGTAGGAAGATGCAGAGTTCCATCTAGCCTGAGCTACAGGGGATAGGGGACATTTATCTTAAGAAATAATACTTTAGGGCTGGAGAGATAGCTCAGTGATTTTAAGGGCACTGTCTGCTTGAGAAGGAAATTGGGTTCAGTTCCCAGTACCTACATGGTGGCTAACAACTACCTATAACTCCAGTTCCAGGAGATCCAATGCCCTCTTCTGGTCTCTGAGGGCATTGCACACATGTGGTGTACTTACATATATTCAGGCAAACTACTCGTACATATAAAAAATAAACAAATCAAAAAAATTTAAACATTATAAAACCATGAGTCAAACTTCATAACCATAGAAGACCACCCAGCTCTTTTTGATTTCTTAAAATTCAACTGTTGGGGGCCCAGCATGGGGGGGGGATGTCTCTGTGAGTTTGAGGCCAGCCTGATCTACATAGTGAGCTCCAGGCCAGCTGTGGCTACAGGGAGACCCTGTCTCTAAAAGACCAAAAAATAAAAATAAAACTCAACTGTTGGGCTGGAGAGCTGGCTCAGCAGTTAAGAGCACTGTCTGCTCTTCCAGAAGACCTGGATTTGGCTCCTAGCATCCTCATGGCAGATAACAACCACGTGTAACTCCAGTTCCAGGGGATTCGACACAAGTGCACTTACATACATGTAGGCAAAACACTCATACACAAATTTAAAAAAAAAAAATAAAACAAAACTCAACTGTATCTCTCTCCACTTTGGTCATGCCCAAGTCTCTCTTCTCTGGAACCTTCTCTACCTCTCCAGGGCCGGCCGCTCTTGAAATGGAGGGAAGATGGCAGCCCCGTTCGTTGGTCGTTTCCAGTACTCATGGAGTAACCTGTGCACATGGTGATTTTAAACATGAAAAACAAGTTGGAGATAAAGAAAGACGCTTGTAAGTAAAGCTGTCATTCAAAACGGACATATTCCATCAGCCACTGAAACGCAAGAGGGCAGGACGGGGCTGGGCTCTGAATCCGAGTGGTGTTTCTGGGTTTGGATACCCCAGAGCTCCAGGGTACTTGTCCCCGCCCAGAGGATTTCCTTCCCACCTCTGGGTCCTGCACCTGTTTCCCTGGGGGAGCCCTTCATCTACCTTCAGAGGCCACCACTGAGGATGCGCCCCAGATCAATGTGCCAAGTGGCAGCCAAACTGCCGAATGCCAGAATACCAGGATGCGTAGAGGAGAGCCAGAGGGACCCACGGCACGAACACCTGTGAGGCTGGGTCCGGTATTGCCAGGACAACGGCAGCTTGCTGGTGCGCCTCTCTTCACTCCACGACTCTCCAGCCTCAGTTAAGGATGGAGTCTCCTAAGAGGTGCAGAACCGCAGGGTTTTGTTTTGTCTTTGTTTTTAGGTTGTGGTCTTTTGTAAGCAACTTGCAATGCTAGAACTGTAACCTCTGGTGTCCGCGCATGACGCGTCCTCCACAAAGCTTGCAGATGCCGCTTCTGAAGTGGCACTGATTAGCCTTGGATTCACCTACCACTTAAAGCGCCTGTTCTGGACCAGGCGCCCTGCTGGTATTATCTTCCTTAAACAACCACCTGCATTTTTCAAAAAGAGAAAACTGACTTTCAGCAAAAGGCTTGTTCAAGGTCACCAGAACGGCAGATTCTTTTCCAAGTTTCCTCCTTCCAAAGCTATCATTCTTTCCATGGTATCAACTGAAATGTATCTTTCAAACTTTTGATTAGATGTAATAAATTTTGCATAGAAGCCTTTTTTACACTTCAATCATAGTCCTTAAATTTATATTAAGACCTAGTCTCTCCTTTAGTTAAGTGGGGACATTTTAGAATGTTTTAAATTATTTATTTAATAATCATATATTTCTGGGTGTGATGTATGAATGTGTGTGCACAGGTGTGTGGAAGGGATCATGCTTGCCCGTGCATGTGCATGTAGAGGTCATTAGGAGTCTTCCTCAATTGCTCTTCATCTTTTTTTTTTCCTTTGGAAACAGGGTTTCTCACTGAGTGTATAGATCACCTTTTCAGATAGACTGGCTGGCCACAAGAACCTGGAGATCCACCTATCTCTGCTCCACCAACACTGGCAATAAAGACACGTGCCACACAGCACATGGCTTTAATGTGAGTGCTGGAGATCCAAATTTGGGTCTTCATGTTTGTGCAGCAGACACTCACTGAGCCATCTCCTCAGACCAGAGTGCTTTTGGATTTTTTAATATAGTTTTATTTATTGTAAAAGAAAGAAAAGGATCACTGTAGAAATCTTGAAGTTGTAGAAAGCTATTATTGTTAATATTTGTAATCCCACAATCCAAAGACAGACCACTTTTTCTGAATATCTATGACTAACAAATCACATGGCTTTAACAACAATCAATCATTGATTGTTTCCTCTGAATTCCGAAGGTTGGTGAGGCTAGGCTAAGCTGTTCATGCTGGAGGGTCTCTGCTGTTGCAGTTAAGAGGTGGGTGGAACTTCCTCATTCATATGTCTGGTGACTGACAGCTGTCAGCTGGGGACTTCTGCTGGGCCTTTTGCCAGATCACCTACCTATGGCACCCCAGAAGGACCATGCAGAGTCAGTCTTATCTCTACATCCACAGATTTTGGGAGAAGGGACCTAGACCTCACCACTCACTGAGAAAATCAAGGTCACATTATACAAAGAACCTAGGTGCCGAGGGATCTTGTGGCCATCCTAGAAAACACAATCTACCACACCATTTATAGTTTAAGGTTATTTCTTCGTCCTTTAATAATGCCCATGTATTTTAACACAGTTAAAATGAAACCATATACCCAATTTTGTATCAGGCTTCTTATAAATCTTAAGTCCTGGATTTCTCCCTAGATTGAAAACGTGGGGTTTAGAAGGTGTTTTGAAGGTGTATATGGGTTGTGGATAGTGTATGTACTTATTAGTATGAGTTTATGCACATGCGTATGCAGTTGTGCACACGTATTCATGCATATGGAGGCCAGAGGTCGATGTCAGATGTCTTTCCTCAATCACTTTCTACCTTTTCACTCACTGAACCCAAAACTCATCAACGCAGCTAAGCTGATTGGCCAATGGAGTTCAGGCGTCTGCCTGTCTCTGCTCCTCTTCCACCTCCCAGTGTTACAGTTACAGGTACCAACACCACACCAGTATTTTTACATGACTCCTGGGGGTCCAAATTCAGATCCTCATGTTTGTGCTGCAAGCACTTTATTCATTGAGTCATCTCCTCTGACCATCAATTAAAGTTTTTTTTTTTTTGAAGAGTTTAATCCTCCTGTGGTCAAAAAAGCAAAAAAGTAGAACTGAATAGAAATATATTACAGGCAACAGCACCATCACTAGTGGCTTGACTGAAGATGTTGCAATAACAAGAAGGCAGAATTTTTTTCGGTTTTGTCATCCACTGTTTGCCAAGCACCTAAAACAGTGCTAGGCGTATATAGGCATTCGATCATCGTTTAAAATGAATTATTAAATGAGTCAATGATAAGTGGGTGGATGGAAAGTGAGAAAGGGGTGAATGGATGGGTGGATGACTGGTGGATAAATGGTGAAATGGGTGGATGGATGGATAGATGAATAAATGGTAAAATGGATGGATGGATGGATGGATGAGGATGGACTGAGCTTAGCCCCTCCCTGTTTCCTCCTCCTAGCAGGAAAGACCAGGTCCTTAACCTGCACCACCAGGTTCCAAGATCTCACAACTTATCTGTAGGCCTGGCAACTACAAGGCAGGTTGGTGAATCCCAGAAGGGAAACTTGCAAACACTTCCCTTGTTCTACTACTGGGTTTTTGTTGTTGTTGTTGTTGTTGTTGTTTGTTTGTTTGTCTTTTTGTCTTTTATGAGACAAGATCTCCTTGTAGTCCCAGCTGGCCTGGAACTCACTATGTAGACCAGGCTGGCCTTGAACTCACAGACATCCACCTGCCTCTGCCACCCAAGTGCTGGGATTAAAGGCATGCATCCAGCTCTGTTCTACTACTGTTTAAAACTTCCCTGCGGGGAAAAAGGGGGAGGAGGTAGCTAGAGAGATGGCTCAATGGTTCAAAGCACTTGATGCTCTTTCAGAGGACCTGGATTCAGTTCTCAGCACCCACATGGTAGCTCACAACCATCCTTAACTCCAGTTCCAGAGGATATGATGCCTTCTTGTGGCCTCTGCAGGCATTGTATACATACAGTACATTTACATGCAGGGAAAACACTCATATAAAATAAACTTTTTAAATTAAAAAAAAACCTCCCAATCCACTTTATCTACATTCCTTGAACAAGTTTTGGAGGCCTGCTGCCTGCCCAGCCTGCCATCTCCATCCCAGGAAGCACTTGAGGAATCCTCAGGGGTGGGGCTGCCTCTGCTTCTGCACTGCCTGCACCACCAGGATCCAGAAACAGAGGGGAGAATGAGAGATGCTGGGTCTCCTAAAGCCCCCCAGAAAGTCCTGCATGCACAGCTGGACTACCAAGCTAGAAGGAAGGCTTCTTCAGGGTTTCCCCGCCAACTGCACCAATCTGCAGCACCCAAATGGACCCTGCCTGGAGGTCATCATTGAACCTACAGAAGGACAAGATGGTCTAACACTGGGAATGTGGTTGGCCTCAAATGTTTGAGGTGAACTCCATTTTCTCTTGGGTTTAGGATCCTCCTCCTGGCACTACAGTTTAGGATCCTAGTGTGTCACGAGTGCAGCTCTCCTGGATCTGAATGAACCCAGAAAACTTAAGACTCCAGATCACCATTAGCACATAATGGGGTTTAGAGATGAAGCAGTACATTGAAACACATGGAATTGTCATTTATGAAGTCAAACATGGCTGAATAGTGGCAGTTTCACAGGGTTCAAGTTTAATTATAAAATTTGGGCATTCCTAGAAAGTTCCATAGTCAGGTCAAAGATATGAGACAGATTAGAAAGCCCCAGCATTCCCTGGGGCAGCAGTTAAGCATGGTTAAAGTACTGTTCATTGAAGTAGAAGTGCTTTTTTTTTTTTTTTGGTTTTTTGAGACAGGGTCTCCCTGTAGCCCCAGCTGTCCTGGAACTCACCATGTAGACCAGGCTAGCCTTGAACTCACAGAGATGCACCTGCCTCTGCCTCCCTAGTGCTGGGATTAAAGGCGTGTGCCACCATGCCTGGCAGAGAAGTGCTTTTCACATCAATAATAAGTCTTTATTATAAGCATCCCTCTTAATGTGATTTTTTTCTCTAAATAAGCCAAAATGTTGGTGGTCCAAGTGGTTTGACTCTTTAACAGATGTCAAACCCTTCCCTGGTACCCTAGCCTCCTGGAGAGAAGGACTGCCATCCAAACAGCCAGCTGGATTGCCATAGCAGGAACAGCAGGTGCACTCAGACACTCCACAGAGGAAGCTACATGGCTACCCAACAACTGCAGCTGCATATCACTAAAACATGCCAGCCCCTAAAGGCGCAGCCCCACCCATGGCTGTTTCCAACAGCTTGTACTGGACTTACTGCCATCAAAAGCCTCGATAAACTCTAAAGGACCCTGCCTTTTCCATCCAAACAGAAAGGGAACACTTCCCCCGCTGGTTCAGCAGAAGGCCTGTGACTGGTGCAAGCACTGGCTTTCATTTTTATGGTGGAGGATGCTATGTCTGGAGCAGATCTGCTGTGATTGCTGCAAATATCCTCTTTCTGGCTATATACGCAGGGCATCCGGCTCCCTTTGTAAGCAGGCAGGAAGACACCCTCTTATGCTGCCTCTTGAGGTTACAACATTAAAGTCAATAAAAAAGCCTCTTGCAAGTGATTTTTTTGCCTTGCCTACTTTGTTTTGTGTGTGTGTGTGTGTGTGTGTGTGTGTGTGTGTGTGT